CTTTGGACATATTGTCAGGAGGGATCAGTCACTGGAGAAGGATATCATGTTTCGTAAGGTGGAGGATCAGAGAAATAGAGGAATACCTCCAATGAGATGGATTAACAAAATGGCAGCATCAATGGGCTCAAGCATTGCCAACAATAGTTAGGTTGGCCCAGGACTAGACAGTGTTTCATTCTGTTGTACATAGGGTTGCTAAGAGTCAGTACCGACTTGATGTCACCACCACAACAACAGGAACATTTCAGGGGGTAACTCCGTTTGCCAAGGAAAACTAGGATGGTCTTTCATATAATTATCTTCAGTCCTGAATTAAAACCAGGTTCAAACAGATTCTGTAAACATATACATGTTAACCATGTTGCAGAGGAAATAATCTCTTAATTCACATAATTAAGTGTATTGTTGCGGTCATTGTTAGGTGCCGTTGAGTCAGTTTCAACCCTGTATAAACCTCATCCTTCTCCCACAGCTCAGCTAGTGGATTCACATCACTGAGCTTATGGTTCGTAGCCCAACTCGTAACTCACTCACTATACCACTTGGACATTCACATGCCTATTTAGGTGTATGTTGTTGTTGTTATTGTATGCTGTCGTCTTTCTGAGGATTTATGAAGAATGGCTGGAGGGTTAGCAGTCTGATGCTCATCTTGCAGCAATACACCAAATTATTTATTTTTCTATAATTTGATTATTTATTTATTAAAATATTTTTATTGTGAATTGAGTGAAGGTTTACAGACAAGATCCTCAGTTTTACATCCAACAAATAATATACCCTGCATCATCTCAATGATTTAAATCCCCTCCATGGAATAATAGTTACTCAGCTTCCTCCTGTGGTTCCTATTTCCATTCCAACAACCCTCCCATTCCTTTTCAACTCTGTATTTAGGTACATGTTGCCCTTTTGGTTTTGAATGATAGACTGTTCCATCATTCATAGTAAGCATACCTTACTAGTGTTGTTGTTTCCCCTATGTGCCTATCTACTGCTTGGCTGAAAGTTAAAGCTACAAGGGTAAATTCCTTTGTAGCTTCCTTAAAGTTAAGCTACAAGGTCAAGGCCTAGTCTCCATTCCTAGTCTCTTTCTGACCAGTAAGCTTTGTCTTTTTCTTTCTTTAAAAAATAATTTTGAATTTTGTTCCACATAGTCTCCTAATTTACATGGCATCCTCTAATGTGATCCCTTTCAGGGCAGATGGGTACCATTTAGTTATTTTGGTCTCAGGGTTGTGGAGACCAATGTTCCTATGTTCAATTAGTCCATTATAAGCATCTTCAATGTTCACCACTGTTCTTTCTTCTGCACTTGGAGAGACCAATAGCTACATCTTAGATACTTGCCCATGAGCTTTTAATATTCCAGATGCTTCTCACCAAAGTAGGATAACAAGGGTGAGCCAAAAATTACCCACATTCTGATAATATTAAAATCTCCATCCATGTCCATGATTGGTGACAACATTGCACATGCACATGAAATGATTCTGTCGGATAGATGAGTGACAGTGAATTATGTAGCAAATAATTTTTAAATCAGTCATGCCTCTGCCTATGAAATAATCCTACTTGGAAAATTGATGCTTACAGTTTTCTGGGACTCTCAAGGGCCAGTATTAGAACACTACCAGGAAAAAGTGCAACAAACAATAGTGTTCCTTACAGTGAAATGTTCATTGAAGAGCTGAAGCCTAAATTTAGGATTAAATGCAGAGGACTGCTACCCATGGGCTTTGTGATCTTGCACGACAATGCTTGTCCTCACACCTCTGCCCATGGTGACATTCTGCAAAAACTTCATTTTGAGGTATTAAAGTATCCTCCTTATAGTCCTGATCTTGCTCCATCGGACTTTCACCTGTTTGGTCCTCTGAAAGCATCCCGTCAAGGATGAAGATTCACCTCTGATGAAGAAGTGAAGACAACTCAGTCTAAAATATTTTTTAATAAGAGAATACAGAAACTTGTTGACAGATGGACAAAGTGTATTGAAAAGCAAGGAGATTTCGTCAAAAGATGATGCATTTATCCTTTCTAAAAATCGGTTAAAGTAAATTCTACAGTCAGAGTATGGATAATTTTTGACTCACCTTCATAGAACATTATCTTTGTGGACTATGTTAGCCCAATTGACTACGGTGGTGTCCCCTGAGACTATGGTCTTGAGCTCCCAGGCTCAACTACTCAGTGTTATAATATGTTTGATAATATCCAAGAAATTTTCATCATTTTGTCTGCTGTACGCTCTTCCAAATTTAAAAAATTGTGTTTGCAGGAAACGTAAATACTCATTTACCAATATCCTCCATCTGTAGGATAAAAAAAAATTTGAATTCCACTCTTCCTCCAATAGCCATCCAGCATGTATCTCTATCCATGTATTTACCTGCAGAAGATTGTTGTTTCAAGGTTGAAATTATAACACTTTTGACTTCTATCCCCTTTAGCCCTTGTGTGTCTCCCTTTGTCTTTGTTTGTTTTCAACATTCTTCTGCCAACCTCCCTCTTCTTATACATTATCCTTCTTGCCACCTGAGACTACTCTCCCATCTCTCTGACCCTTGGCAACCATCAAAGAATGATTTTTTGTTTTCTCTTTCAAACTGTCACCCATTTTCAGCCTATGTCTCAATCCATGTATCTACAAACAGAACAGTTGTTCCAATGTTGTGTATACATCAGTATTTATATCTGTCCTGTTTAGCCCATGCATTACCTCCCTGTCTTTACCTGTCTTCATTGCTCTTCTGCCACCCACTCCCTTATTGTATATTGCTCTTCTCCTTCTTGTATATTGCCATCCCCATCATCTGAGCTAACAACATATGTCTACCCTCTAACCAGTGAATTACTTGATCTTCCCTCCTATCCATTTGATGCAAACCATCAAAGAATATTTCTTTTAGTCTGAAAAGCTTATCTTAAAATTTCAAAATAATGGTCTCATATAATATTTGTCCCTTTGTGATTGACTAATTTCATTCAGCATAATATCCTCCAGGTTTATCCAAGTTATGAGGTATGTCACATATTCATTGTTATTCTTCAAAGTTGCATAGCATTTAATTGTGTGTATGTACCAAAGTTTGTTTATCCATCTCTCCATTGTTGGGCAGTCAGGCTGTCTCCATCTTTTTGGAATTGTGAATAGTGCTGCAATGAACATTGTTGTGAATATATTTACTCATGTCCTGGCTCGTATTTCTTGAGGATCTATACTAAGTAGAGGAATTGCTGGATTATAAGATATTTCTATTTCCAACTTTCTCCAGAAAAGTTAAAACATTTATAGTCCTACCAGCAATGTGTGAGGGTCCTCGTCTCTCCATACCTTTGCCAGCAATTGTTGTTTTCAGTTTTTAAAAACTTTGCTGTTAATGTTGGAATGAGATATCTCCTTGTTGTTGTGATTTGCATCTCTCTAATGGCCAATGATAAGGAGCTCTGGTAGCATGTTATGAATCGGGCTGTTAACCTCAGGTCAGCAGTTCAAAACAGAATGATGAGGCTTTCTGCTCCCGTAAAGATTTACAGCCTCCAAAACCCTGTACAGAGTCGCTATGAGTGGGAACAGACTCCACTGCACTTAACAACAATGGCTAATGATAGTGAACATTTCTTCATATATTTGTTGGCTGCCTGGATATCTTCCTTGGTGAAATGTCTGTTCATGTCCTGTGCCCACTTTTATTACTTGATTTTTTTCCCCAAAAAATAATTTACATTTATTTCTTGATGATTTTGACTGAACATTCTTCAAACACAGCAGAAGTTAAGAGTTTATTAGGGAAAGCCATTTCGCCAGCAAGTAAAGGTGGTCTGTGAAGAGTAACTTGAACATCATCTTCAAGTTGAGGCCTTGGCTTTGGACAGCCGAGGGTGGACCTGGTCCTTCTCACCTGGATGAGGCCTTCCGAGAAGCTACTCTTATTGCTAGCACTTGTGCTTGATGTGTTTCCACAGCTTCCCGTCGTTGATGTGCTCGTAGATCGTGTCCATGCTTTGATCGAAGATGTGCAGGAAGAACAGGGCGCCCACAGAGATGGTGAGGGCGAACATGGAGGTTCTGAGAGAACATGGAAGCAACAGAGAGTACAAACTCCCAGTAACCGTCGGTCACGTCATGTTTCCTGACTGCCGAACTCACATTACTTGATTTTTTAACATCTTTGTTGGGACTTAACTTACTTAGCATTACATACACATCTTTGGTGAACAATTCAATATCTTTTATTATACTAATAAAGTTTTGCAACAATTATCCCCTAGTTCCAGATTACGTTCCTCACCCCGTAAAGAAACCCTAATTATCCATTAGCAGTCACTCCCCTTTTCTCTTCTCCCAATCCTTGTCACCTCCAATCTTCTGCCTATATGGAGTCATGTATGCTGGACATTTTGACTAAATGGAATCATACAACATGTGACTGGCTTTTGTTACTTAACATATTTTCAGTGTTCATCCATACAATACTTCACTCCTTGTTACTGCCAAGTCATATTCTATTATATGGATATACCATATTATTTTCTGATTCACTCAATAATGATAGACATTTGAGCTGTTTGCACTTTTTGACTGTTACAAATAATAATGTTATGAACATTTGTGTGCAACTTTTGTTGTTGTTTTGTGCCTCTGAGTCTGTTCCGACTCATAGCGACTCTGTATAGGGTTTCTGAGGAGCAGCTGGTGCATTTGAATCACTGACCTTGTGGTTCCAAACCACCTTGAGGTCGAGAGATTCTCCTATGGCACCATACCAGAACTCCAAAATGTAATAAAAAAAGTGGATTTGAAAAAAAAAAGTGTATGTTTTAGTGATAGGTAGGCTTTTAAGGCGGAAAATAACCTCATTTTTCTTTCCTTTCAAGAGAAAGCAAGCGTGGGCAGTATATTGGTGGTTGGTTGTGTGCTGTGGAGTCAGTTCCAACTCAGTGAACCCAGATAAGGTTTCCAAGGCTGTAAGTATTCATGGGAGAAGAAATCCTCATATTTCTCCCACAGAGAAATTGGTAGATTTGAACTGCTGACCTTGCAGTTAGCAGCCCAATTCACACTTGCTATGCTACCAGGGCAATGTATTACTCTGGAATTACTTTAGTAGTAGTTTTTTTAAGTTATAGATTCTGCTTAGACAGATGCTCTATCTTTAATTCCCAGTGAAATTCTACCAGTTTATGCTTTTGCCATGATTCATGTAAATAGTACAGTGTATGACTAAATCTTGGTAGGGTGTTGTTGTTGTTAGGTGCCATCAAGTCAGTACCAACTCATAGCAACCCTATGCACAACAGAATGAAACACTGCCCGGTCCTGGGCAAACCTGACAATTGTTGCCACGCTTGAGCCCACTGATGCTGCCATTTTGCCAATCCATCTCGCTAGGAGTCTTCCTCTTTTTCTATGACCCTCCACCTTACCAAACATGATATCATTCTCCACTGAATGGTCCCTCCTGATGATATGTCTGAAGTATGAGAGACAAAGTTTGGCTATCTTGGCCTCCAAGGAGCACTCTGGCTGCACTTCTTTCAAAATGGATCTATTGGTTCTTTTGGTAGACCATGGCACTTTCAGTATTCTCCTCCAACACCATAATTGAAAAGCATCAATTCTTCTATGGTCTTCCTCCTTATTCACTGTCCAGATTTCGCATCCATATAAGATTATTGAAAATACCATGGCTTGGGTCAGGTGCACCTTAGTCCTCAAGCTGACATCTTTGCTCTTCAACACTTTCAAAAGGTCTTGTGCAGAAGATTTGCCCAATGCAACACGTCATTTGATTCCTTGACTGTTGCTTCCATTAGTGTTGATAGTTGATCCAAGGAGAATGAAGTCCTTGACAACTTCAATATTGTCTCCATTGATAAGAATGTTGTTTATCAGGCCAGTGGTGAGGATTCTTGTTTTTTTACGTTGAGATGCAATCCATACCGAAGGCTGTGCTCTTTGATCTTCATCAGTAAATACTTTAAGTCCTCTTCACTTTTAGCAAGCAAGGTTGTATCTCTCATCTGCTTATCGCAGGTTGTTAGTGAGTCTTTGTCCAATCCTGATGCCATGTTTTTCTTCATATAACCCAGCTTCTCAAAGTATTTGCTCAGCATATAAATTGAATAAGTACTGTGAAAGAATACAACCCTATTGCACACCTTTCTTAATTTTAAACCATTCCATCTTCTCATGTTCTGTTCAAATAACTGCCTCATGGTCCATGTACAGATTCCTCAAGAGCACAATTAAGTGTTCTGGAATACTCATATTCGCAATGTTGTCCATAGCTTGTCATGATCCACACAATTGAAAGCCTTTGTGTAGTCAATAAACATCTTTCTGATATCCTTTGCTCTCTGCCAAGATCCATCAGACATCAGCAATGATATCCCTCGTTCCATGGCCTCTTCTGAATCTGGCTTGAACCTTTGGAAGTTCTTTGTCAATGTATGCTTGCAGCTGTTCCTGTATTACCTTTAGTAAAACTTTATTCACATGGGATATCAAAGATATTGCCCTATGATTTCTGCATTCCGTTGGGTCACCTCTCTTTGGAATGGGCACAAATATGGCTCTCTTCCAATCAGTTGGTCAGATAATTGTCTTCCAAATGTCTTGGCATAGATGAGTGCCTCCTCAATTTCTTGAAAGATTTTAATTTGTATTCCATCACTTCCTGGTACCTTGTTCTTTGCCAATTTCTTCAATGCCTCTTGAACTTCTTCCTTCAGTATCGTTGGCTCTTGATCATATGCTACCTCGTGAAATGGTTGAGCATTAACCATTTCCTTTTGGTACAGTGACTGTGTGTATTCCTTCCATCTTCTTTTGATACTTTCTGCATAATTCCATAATTTGTCCAGAGAATCCGTCAATAATGAAGGTTGAGGCTTGAATTTTTTCTTCAGTTCCCCCAGCTTGAGAAAGGCTGGGCTTGTTCTTCCTTTTTGGTTTCCTGACTCCAGATCTTTCCATCTTTTGTATTAAAATCTGGCTGTATCTTCTCGAGCTGATCTTTGAAATTTTCTGTTCAGCTCTTCAACCTCCTCATTCCTTCCATTAGCTTTAGCATTTCTACATTGGAGAGCAAGTTTCAGTGTCTCTTCTGACATCCATTTTGACCTTTTCCTTCTTTCTTGTCTTCTCAATGATTTTTTGCTTTCTTCATGTATGATGTTCTTGATGTCATCCCACAACTCTCCTGTTTTAGATCTTTAGTGTTTACTGTATCAAATCTGCTCTTCAGATGATCTCTAAATTCAGGTGGGATAAATTCAAGGTCATATTTTGGCTCTCATGGACTTCTTTTCATTTTCTTCAGCTTCAGTATGAAATTACATATGAGCAATTGATGGTTTGTTCCACAATCTGCCCCAGGCCTTGTTTTGACTGATGATATGGAGCTTTTCCATCGTCTCTTTCGGCAGATGTAGTCAGTTTGATTTCTATGTATTCCATCTTGTGAGCTCCATGTGTATAGTTGTCTCTTATGATATCTAAAGAATGTATTTGAAATAAACAAATCATTGGTTTTGCAGAATTCTATCATGCAATCTCCAGCATCATTTCTATCACCAAAGCCATATTTTTCAACTACTGATTCTTCCTCTTTGCTCCCAACCTTTGCATTCCAATCACTGGTAATGATCAATACATCTTGATTGCATGTTTGATCAATTTCAGATTGAAGAAGTTGGTAGAATTCTTCTATTTCATCCTCACTGGCTTTAGTGGTTGGTATGTAAATTTGAATAATAGTGGTATTAACTGGGCTTCCCTGTAGGCGCATGGATATTATTGTATCACAGACAGCATTGTACCTCATGACTGATCTGGATATGCTCTTTTTGACAATGAATACAACACCATTCCTCTTCAATTTGTCATTCCCGATATAGTAAAGCATGTGGTCGTCAGATTCAAAATGGCCAACACCAGTCAATTTCAGCTCACTAATGCCTAAGATATGGATGTTTATGCGTTCCATTTCATTTTTGACAATTTACAATTTTCCTAGATTCATACTTCTTACATTCTATGTTCCAATTATCAGTGGATGTTTACAGCTGTTTCTCTTCATTTTGAGTTGTGCCCCATCAGCAAATGAAAGTCCCGTGGACTTTTCTCCCATGGGCTTTACTCCATTCGTGTTATCATGGTCAACTCTACTTTGAGGAGGCAGCTCTTCCCCAGTTGCATTTTGAGTGGCTTCCAAGCTGAGGGGCTCATTTTCTGGCACTATATCTGACAGTGCTTTTCTGCTATTCATAATGTTTTCAGTGACTAAATAGTCAGAAGTAGTTTGTCACTCCTTCTTCCTAGTTGTCTTCGTCTGGAAGCTCATCTGAAACCTGTCCACCATGGGTGACACTGCTGGTATTTAAAATACCGGTGGCATAGCTCCCAAAATCACAGCAACTCACAAGCCACCACAGTACAACAAACTGACAGACGAGTGTTGGCAAGATAGTGTAGGACTCACATAAAGATAAACATACAGATCAATGGGATCTTCTTCAGTGTCCAGAGATAAATTGTTGCATTTTCGGTCCTTTGAGTTTTAACAAAATGCAAAGCAGTTGTAAAGGGAAATAACAGGGTTTTTTTTTTTTTTTTTTTTTTTTTCAACAAATAGTTCTGGGACAACTGAATAGTCACCAAAAAATGAAATTGAATCCTAATTTACATCCTATAGAACTCAGCAATAAAAAAAAGTCTTGTAACTCAATTTTAAAAATAGGCAAAGGATTTGAGCAGGCATTAGTCCAAATAAATAGCCAGTAATGATCTGAAAAGACACTCAGTTATTGTTGTTTCTGTTAAGTGCTGTTGAGTCTGTTCTGACCCAAAGTGACCCTGCATAGGGTTTCCGAGGAGCAGCTGGTGAACTTGAACTGCTGTCCTTGAAGTTCAAACCAATTTTGCAGTCCAGCGCATTAACCTACAGTACCACACAGGACTCCTAAATGGGATTGTCGTTGTTTTTTAGCGCTGTCAAGTTGGTTCTGACTCATAGTGACTCTGTAGAGTTTCCAAGGAATGCTGGTGAGTTTGAATTGCCGTTCTTTCAGTTCAAACTGACAGTGAGGTGGATTATCGTATGGCGCCACACCAGGACTAGGGATTAGGACCC